TTTATAGGCAAAAATTCATTTGCTGATGGACATCTTTCGTTTTTTTAGTGTTGTTAAAATGAGTCACTCGACTCGATCCACCACGAATTGACTACTTAGCGAGTGAACCCAAACCTGGCTCATTTATCAGTGAGCCGAAAAAATTTGAACCCGGCCTGACCCATCATGAGTTGATGGGTTAAACGGGTTGGCTCACTGACTCACTTAATTATATATTTTTTAAATAAAAAATACATTGTTTTTTGTAATTCAAGTTTAAATAAATTTAACTCTAAAATGATGTTAAACTCCAAAGACAATTCAAAATAAAAAAATGTAACATACAACTCAAATGTAATCCAAAAATAGACTCAAAAAGCGAATAAATAAGTTTGTAATATTGATAATAGTTGTCACTCATCCATTTATTTATAAGATTAGAGTCTTAAATGGATAAATTTATAATATGTTGATCTCTTGAAACATCTTTTTCTTTATTTTCATTTACAATACAATAAAAAAACAAATAATATTGAAACATAAAATAATTAATAATTAAATTAAATTAGGTGGGTTGGTGAGCCAACCCAGCTCACAACGGATTCAACCCGGATGAGTCAGGTTCTAAATAAGCCGAGTTGAAAATTGGTCCATATAAAAAAATTTCATTTTTTTCAAACTCAACTTTAACCCATTTTCACATTACTAGTTTTTTTACATGTTATAAGTCGTCATATTCAAGTTCTTATATAATGAATTTAAAACTTTATGTCTAATAAATTATTCGTTATAATTCAAGATGTCAAAAACATTATTTGTTTTCCTGATTTGGGATATATTAATGGCCAATTGGGAGAAACTATGGTCTTCAACAAAAGCTAGTTAAATCTAAATATTTTACGATATTAACGAGTGTCAAACGATTTTTCTTCATATCAATTATCCGAGGGAGCAAAAACAGCTATATAACCATTTAATTATGCAATTTGCTTATCGTAATAATTATTTATCTCACAGGGTTTAGTGGTATTGGCCTTTGAATATCAACTATTAGTTAGTAGTGCATATACGAAAGCTAAAAAGTTAGTCATTTACTAAAATGTCTACCAAATTAAGAAGAAACATTTCACAGTACTTTCTGAAATTCCTCATCATTTATTTTAGTCTCGTAGATTTACTAAGATTAGTACAAAGATGTTTCTCTTCCAAAAGTTATATATATTTATGTTTCTCTTCCCTCGTAGTATATGATAGAAGTAACATAGGAAACAAATATGCACATTCTGGCATACAAGAAGAGAACTGAGAAGTCGTCGAATTAGGGTTTTGAGGCATTCACCATGTCTCTTAGACTTGCCATTCAAGCACAAGATGGAGGGATTTTGGGAATCCCTTGTCTTTGTAGTTCACCCATTACACCATCAAGGGCTGGACCTTTAAGGCCAAGTGGTAGTGGCAACCATGGTTTTGATAAAACATCACTAATAGCTGCATCTATGCTCTCCTTTGACTGTCAAAACAAACATGAACACATAACTTAAATTAACCATGCAACATTATTTTTATAAAATATTGACCTGTGTCGTGCGTTTCAGTTTGAGTTTCTTAATTTTTTCGTACAAAAATAATTACTTCCTTTTTTTTAATTTTAAAAATGAAAAATGGAATTAACTCGCTTAAAGTTGTGAATCCAGTTTATAGAACTTTGGATTTATAGACACGGACCAACGACGGGAAAGGAGAGGACAGAAAGAGAAGTAGGAAAATGACAGAAGAAATTAATAAAGACAAAAAAAAAATAAAAAAAATCCGTGATTTAATTTGTAAGCATTCAAACGTTTTCACACCCAAAAATAACTTAGGTTTAGTAATATATATATCATAAGTAATAATTTCGTGGAGTGAGTTTGATCTTTCAAATAAAAACATGTTTTATTTAAAATACGATTAATTTTGTATTTCTTTTTAAACCAATCTAATTAAAACAAAACTATTTACTGTTGAATTTAGAAATAAATCCTCAATATATGTATAAAAAGTTGAATCATAATATAAATAACATTTTTTATGAGTAAGATATTGTTTTAGTACTAATAATAGTTTATGTTTGTATCTATATACTGGAGACTCTATACTTGACTAAGTCTTTTGAATTAATGTTAATAACTGTATAATTTACTATAGATTAGTTTGTTATTGACTTGATTAAAAAATAATCTTACAAAACAAAAGAATTGACATATATATATTTTCCATTGAATGAGTTGGAATTACCGGATGAAAATCGAGGAGGGGTCGAGGTGGTGGTTGGGTGGCTGGGATGCCAATGCCTGGATCTACTATTTGGAACATTGTATGGTGTGGAGGGATGCCCGGAACAGTTTGAGACCCAAATCTCTGCAAGTTAACATTCTATAGTGAGTGAACCAGCATTTTGATATTGTATATACAGTAAGGTTGTTCTCAAAAGGATCCAAATTTGGAAGGAGAAGACAACGTAGGTGGTTCCAAAAAAGTAAGGTCAATAGTTACCGTGCTTGTCAGAGGCGGTGGAAAACACGGTGTTCCTGGGGTTGGTGCGTTTGGAGCCTGCAGTATCAAACAAGAACGAACCTATTAATTTAGATAGACAAACACAAGATATAAGGGCATATTGTTTCTTTTGGAGAAATTTTAAGAGCTTTTCTTGTCCTATATATTCGAATACAATGAATCAAGCATACAGTTTGCTACTTGAATGTGATTGTGTGTTGAGTGAACAGTGTTTGAAAGAATTTTCATAGTCAAAAGAGTTAACCCGTTGATGTTGGTGCCAATAAAGAGGGTCCGGAGGCGGCGGAGAGGGAGCCGTTCGCGGTGGCCATGCCGGCGGGGACGGTGAATATGGGAGATGTTTAGGCCACATGTGCATGAAGGACTGGTCCATGGTGTGATGCCCCCATACATGGAAAGGTCTGAAATGGTGCATTGGTGTCATGTGAGGGAAACCCATGGTAGGTGCAAGCCAAGGGTTCACGTCTCTCTTGCTTCCTCCTCCTCCTCTACCTACGCTTGCTGCACCCATGAATTGTTTCCTTTGACTCAACCTTGCTGCTTCAGCTTCACGTGCTAGCAAATGCTTCCTATGGGATCGATATTTCTGCCACCAAAACTGCATACTTTAGAAACCCTCTTCAGTAAAACTAAGCTCTTTTTCTATTCATAGGGTTCATGTTTCTGATACAAGATCCTAGTTTAACTAAAAAATTTACCTAACTTTCTTTCTTGCTGCAACATATGCACATTAATAATTGCATATGTCAATTAAGAAGAAAGACTTATGCACAAGACTTTTCAAAGTTCTTAGTAAATTTAATTTTTACTGGGATGTGTCAAGTTTTAATAACAGTACAGTATCTCACTAAATGTACAAACCTTACAACTCTAGGCACAAATTTGAATCTGTGTGAATCGCAAATTTAATTAACTTTAAAAAGTTTTCATATCAGTAGATATATATCTTTAATAATAAGTCTTTCTGCAACCATATAATAAATCAGTGATAATTACTACTTGTGTACTCATTTTTTTCAGTGATAATTGAGCTTGTTTATCAAAGAAAAAACAACCATATAATAATAGTAAGAAGAAGAAGCATAATCTAATTTTTTATTTATTTTTGTATCGACTCTTGTTGAGTGACTGGGTTGAAACTTGTGGAAGAGAGAGAAAACAAAGTTGAAGAATATTACTTGAAGGTGGCTGGCAATGTTATGGCGAGTGAGACAGTCAATTCCCATAATCTCCAAAATCCTTGAAGGCACTGCTTTGTCCACACCTAGCTGTTCCACAGCTTGCACAAATCGCCTGTGCAATTCTGGGGTCCAATCCACCTTCACACAACCCAAGAAAACACACACACAACACAACTCATTACTACAATACAATACATCAAACTCATTCCAAAATTCTAACACTAAATGCATTTCTCTTTCTCTGTCACTTTAACTTAAACGCCACTCCTGAGTTCTTTGGACACACTCTGCAACTATAGAAACCCATAATAGAGATAGAAAGACCTTTAAGAGTTATCCTTAACGTGTATGAACTTTCCTGGAATTAGCCTAAACAAAAAGCAAGAAAATAGGAATCAATGACAACAATAATAACAACTTACCTTCACCTTTCTCTTCCCTAGCGGATTATTCCTTGAATGCGTTGATGATTTTCTTCCTTTCTTACTTTCCTTAGGGGATGGATTCACCACCACTGAATGAATTGATTCCTCGCTTTTGCTTGCTATCTCTTCCCCTCTGCTAGACCCGGAATTGGAACCAGAATCTGAACAAAAATTGGCTGCTATAACCTCATCTTGTTTCTCGGTAGTAACTATATTATTCTCATTCCTGTCATCAGATTTGTTATTTACCACTGAAACTGACGAGACTTTCTCCGATTCCTCGCTGAGGGAAAACTCAGCCAGCATTTCAGGGTCCATCTCCAGATCTGGCAAGACATCTTCATCATCGTTGATTCCCATGAAGAGGTCATCAAAGTTGATGCTTTCAAGCAAGTTTCCTTCTGATAAGTCAGCAAAGTCATCAGTTCCAATGGAGAAGCTCTCCATCTCCCCTTGCTCTTCATCTCTTGTGCTCCTCAAAGGTGACACCGCCAGCATGAATATTAATCTAGATTTCAACCTCGGAGTGAATGAATATATAACAACAAAAGCAAAACAAACTCCACTTATATAAAGCAGTGTTCACATATGCCTGTGCATGAAAATCTTCAAAGCTGAGGGATTCAAAAGAAGATGAATTAATTAGTTTGAAAATGTCTGTGTTGCCTTTTCTGGAAAGAAAGGGAGTGTGTGAAGAAGAAGCTAGCTGGGACCGCTCTCCACCACAACTTAGCTCTGAGTATCAAAACAGAAGTATTTTCACGGTTTTTTGGGGGCGTGTGCTACTTGCAAGCTTGGTCTACATTAATATATTATATAGTATATTTTTTATTTGTGGATGCCCTTTTTTGTGTCTGAAAGGGAATTTTATAAACAAAAATATACATAGCATGCTGATATAAGCATTAGAGAAATAAATGCAGATGATATGTATCATGACATGGCAAGAGAAAAAAAAAGATTAAGCTAGAAAAAATGAGCAAAGTATTTGCATAGAGATGTGCATATGTAAGTACTTTTTAGAAAATTCAAATGTAATCATGGACATTTGGTAATTTTAGTTAGAATAATAACCCTATTTTCATGGAACTTTTTCACAACAGGATTTTTACAGTTATCTTTTCTATATTTGTCCATGACATTATACATGTATTCTTTGAAAAAAATGTTACTGAGAGTGGAATACTGTTTAATGGATATGTATGAAGAGAGAGAGTGATAGAAGCTATATCTGTCAGTCACTGTGTTGAAAGACGAAACAGTTCGGTGTAAGTGAAAGTGATGTAAGGTATGGTGATGTTGGTGGACAAATTGACCTGTTGTACATTTTTGTTCTCTAAACCGATAAGGTTTATCTAGTTTCCTTAATAATCAAATATTTGAAAAGCTGTATAATTGGATAAGCTCCTCATTACGTGACTTCCCTAAGCTGTTAACTACCTAGGTAGACCCCATATTACACTTCCACTGCCACTTGATGATTTGCAAAGAAAATTATGGGCACCAATCTGGATTCCTAAATTGACTACACACAAGAACTATGAGTTCCTTTGGGTTGAAATTTGCCAAAATTAAGGTTGATGAAATCCACTTTGAATCATGAAATGTAATTCCACGTTGTGATTTAAATTAACTTTTGACTACCATATTACATTTGAGACAAGTGGGAAAAAAA